GGGTGGTAAGCTTCTCTCTCCAGCTGTCTTGGAGCTCCCCCTAGTGGCAGAGACGGAGATGATGCGTTACCTATGGGCAATGGTTTCTAGGTGGGGGACTTTGACAAAGACATCTCAGTTCTCCTGCCCCTTGGCTCTTAGAGACCATTTAAATGCATGTCCAAAGTATTTTCTGAGCCGAGCCACCTGGGACCATCAGGCCTCCAGCTAATATCTCTGGGCCCAGCCTGTCCCCAACCCCTGGAAGTCCCCTGGAAGCCAGGAAGGTGCAGGGACCCTACTCCAGCTGTAGAACAAGAGCTGGCCCAGGAGGAGTCTGAGGATGTGGGTCAGGGGTCCCGCAGACTGCCAGCCTCCTTCAGCAACCTCATCTGTACCCTGGGGCTTGTAATAGCCCGGGATGGGGTGGACGGAGGGGCTCTGATGCCAAAATGCATGTAGAAAACATACTCTAGAGGGTAAATGTTTCCATACCATCCTGGACAGGAAGTCCATTGAGTATCTGACCCATTCTGATGCATCTTGGTGCAGCTGACAGAGGGCGGGGTCAGTGGATGAGAATGCCCCTATTGCCTCACTGCCTTCATCTTTGCCTATAGAGTGTGGCACATGCTAGGGAGAATCGAAAAGTCATGGAACTCGAGAATCTGGCCCAAACCTCGTATAGTGCAGAGGCAGAAACTGGTGGTCTGAAAGGGTGAGGGGCTTGGCCACGGTCCCACAGAGGAAAGAGTGGGGACGGGTTGAGGGAGATGGTTTCTGTCCCTGGATCTGGGGAAGGAGGGGTGGGTGAGAAGTGTTGGGTGGACTTGGGGAAGGTTGGCAACTTGGATGAGTTGAGGCACTACCCCCTGGAAATGAGCACGCGGATGTGAGCTCCAGACTTTCTGACCCAGAGTTGAGCCTTCTGGGGCTTAGATAGAAGGTCCCTGTTGAAAGGGAGAAGTGAAGGAGACAATGGGAGGGTGGGGTGTGGTGGGGAGGAGGAAGCGTCCAGACTCCAGGTCTGGTGCCTCCTCTGGCCATGTGGACGGCTCAAGAGTCCCGCTTGGGCTGGATGGTCTGCACAGAAGATTGCCCAAAGGGGCTGGTGGGTGGTGAGAACCAAGACTGGCCACTGACGTCGCGGAAGATGGGGGACAGCTGCTGCTCTGACTCATCCCCGAAGACCTCCACGGGACCGTCAGCTTCGGTGTCCAAGGGTTCTGCCTTGGTGTCCTGACTCAGCCAGCCAGTCATGGCCCAGAACAGGCAGATGGCCAGCAAGACCCCGCCTGCCACACAGAGTGCTGTGCCTGCCAGGCGGCAGGTGCCCAGGGCCTGGTTGTAGTCGGCTGCCCGCTGATCCAACACCAGGAACTCGCCCTCTCCGATGCCCTCCAGCTTGGGGGGCACTGCATAGCCAGTGGTCAGGGCTGCCACGCCCAGCAGCAGAAGCAGGGTCCCTGAGGACAAGCTGATCTGGAGAGAGGCAGAGATTGGGAGGGAGTCAGGGTCAGCCAGGGGCCCCAAGCCAAGAGATCACCTTGGACTCAAACTGGACTTAAAGGTAATCATAGAACACACCTACTAGGCTCTAACTGACAAGGGGCACACACTGTCATGCTCTATTTGGAATCTTGAGACCTCTAGATTAATTTCCTTCCCAACTCCCACCTAATAGTGAGTTTCTCCTGCCAACTTTGAGTCCCCCCTCCATCATTATTTGGGTTCCATCTTATCCCCCTGTGCCACCTACCCTCTATCTCTATCTCTCTGTTGGGTTAACTCCTATACATCCCTCAGATCTCATCTCAGACCTCACCTCCCCCAGGAAGCCTCCAGGATGTCCCCAAACGTGGTCATATCCCCTGCTCTACACTCATGCAAATGCTGTGCCCATTCATTCTTCAGTGTACTCCCCTTGGTGCACAATGGGACATGTACTTTGGTTACTATGTAAGTGATGTCTGCCTGCCCCACCAGACTGAGAGCCGAGAGAGCCACAAGAGCAGAGACTCTCTGTTTTGGCTCACTAGGTATCTTCTGTGCCTAGCACGGTGCTGGTACAGAGTCGTAGCTGAGTGAATATTTGCAGAATGACTAAATGAACCACAGCTAGAAGTTCCTTGAGGACTAGGGACCATGTGTTCTTCAATTCTGTGTCCCCAAGAGCCTAGTACTCTGCCTAGCAATAAGAAGATGCTTAAAATTTTTAAGTACATACTGACTTTCTCCTGGAAGTCACCCTAGGCACTGAGGGCATTTCTTCTCCTGGCTTCCTCTACACACCTGACCTGATGGACATTCATTCTGCACAGATTGGCACCTTTTCTTCCCACCAAAGTCAAGCCCTTTGAAAGCACAGGGGAGGGACTCTCTGCCTCAATCTTCCCACAGTGTTTATGAAAGAGCTATGCCCATTGTAGGGACTCAGCCCACTGCCACCTCCATACCTTTACCCACACAGTGCGCCCTAACTGATCACTCTCGCTTGCTGGTATGAGCATCATACCTGTTTGTCTCATGTCTCCCGTTGCCCTGGCAATAGTACCTCAACATATCATCGCGAAACATGGTAAGATTTAAATGGGATGAACCCCCCTTCTTGCCAGTCAGTATATACCATCCTTTTGGCTACAATAATTAGTTCAGGGCTGAGCAAGTGACCTAATCAGAGCTAATGCAATACTTTCTAGGACTTCTAGAAAGAAAAAGCATTGTTTCTTTTCTGAAGGAAATTCTAGAGGAAATTCTGATTTCCCTTAGATGGTGTGGAGTGAAAGACTGAGGGTCAGCATAGTAACAGCCATTTGGGGAACATGTTTGGGGAGCCTGAAGCTAACAGAAGCTGCAAGGGTTGGGGTACCACGGGGAGCCTGAAGACCAAGAGAAACCTTGCGTACTCAGCGTGATGGTTTGAACTGCTGGATTAAACTTTGCCTAAAGGCACACAACCCCTGGTCTCTTCTATAAAATGAGCAATATTTTCCCTTTATTGTTTGAGCCCATCTGAGTTGGATTTTCTGTTGTTTGAATGTACAAGACTCCTAATGGCAACACCGTCCCTTTTCTTTCTATCCACTGATCCCATCTCCTCCCTGAAGCCGCAGGAAATCACCCGAGTTGCTCCTCCTCTGGCCTTACCTTCCAGCATAGTGAGGGCCAGGGACGGCGGGGGCACAGGATGGGAGGCCCCTCAGGGTCATCGCTGAGGGTGGTATTTGCACAGTCCTCATAGAAGAGGTGCAGATAAGAGCGGACCCCATACCACTTGCCATCTTCCACGTTGGGGCCGCGGCTACAGCCACAGGAACGGTCATAGCTCGGCATCGTGGATCCCTGTGGGGTAGGCAAGGTGTAGTAGACAGAGGGAGCGGCCCGTGAGAGCTGTCCATGGTGACCTTCCCAGGCTCCTGAATCTTTGTGCCCCATCCACTTCTCCACACTCAGCACAGTCTAGCCTTCTGGAATCCTGACCTGACTTTCCTGAGTACATTGTGAATGTCAACGCACTGAAGTGCTTAGCCCAGTACCTGGCAATTGTAGGTGTCAGTAAATGTGCGTGTTTACTCTGGAGGCTGCCTGGTGGCAGGGACTGTGAGCCTCACTTGTTTGGACTGGAATCCCAGAGCCATCACTTCCTGGCTGTGTCACCTTAGACAAGTGCTTTCACCTTTCTAAGCCTCAGTTTCTCCCCTATAACACAGGGTTAATGGTTCTAACTGCTTCATACAGTTATTGTGTCTGGTACCAAGAAATTGTAACTGTTGTGATTATTATTACTGTAATTTTTTCATTATTATTTTTATCCTGAACTTTTTGAGCCCCATGTTTGGAGCGAGAGGTTCTCATCCCCATCTCCTCTCAAAAATCTACCCCCTTTCAGGGTATTCTTGGGGGTAACTGTCCTGGCTGAGACATCCAATCAGGCAGAGCTCCCCAAGCTGCAAGACCCTAAAATCTCCCTTCCTAGGACTGCCCCTCAGGAGGCAACAGCTTCCAAGTCCCAAGGAATCTTGACTCCACAGGAGGTGAAATTCGGGGGCCCTTGGGATTAGGGGCTCTTAGGCCCAAAGGCTGTTAGATTTCTAGAGAAACCTATCTAAGAACCACTTTCTTCACAAATGGAGACACTAAGGCCTCACGAATAGAAGGTACTTGTGTATTCACATAAAAGCAGGACTACAATCAAAGTCAGGGGACCGGAGCAGTGCTGGAACTGGGTTTCTGCCATCCCCAACCCCATGATGACCTTCAACCCCTCTGAGCAGCTTCAAACAAAATAAAGCAATGTGCTTACACTGAAGGGTAAGACAAATTTCCAGTTCCCTCTCATTTCCAATCAGATGTGTCCCTCAAACGCCTGTGGTGAGAAACTCACCAGCACACACACACACACACACACACCCCAAACGGAATCCACAGATAGACACACATACCCATACGCCAGTGAAACACACAACAGACACCAGAGTCATACCCAGCCAGACACACATGCTACACAGAGACACAGATGATATGCACAGCACATACATAAACACACAGGTATACACACAGCACAGACACACACATAGACAAATGCAGACACACCCATAGCCATAGTGTGTGTTGGGGGTGATTCTTGGAGCCCCCACAGACCCACACAAGTCACAGAAGGGCTGTAGTTAAAGTCTGTCTATAAATCGCAGCTCTCCTCAGCCCTCACCCACAACTCAGGAGGGGGAAACGGGGGCAAAAAAAGGAAAACAAATGACAGAGAATGAGAAAAGGCAGAGATCAAAAGCGAAGGCAGGAAGAAGAGGGCAAGAAGTCTGGAGAGGGAGGGGGGCGGGGCTCTAAGGAGGCGTGGCCAGTACCGGAACCGGAGCCCGGGTGGGAGAATGAATGGGGCCCGTGGGGCTGTCTGAGTTAGTGCAGCACCATTAATTAAAGACCCTGGGGGAGGGGGCAGAGAGGGAGTAGAGGGTTGGTTGGCCTGAGTTAGTTAGCTCCTCCCCTGCAACGCACTGTCCTCCTCCCCCAAACATACATAATCACTCAGTCCTGCTGGTCCTGGTGAAGGAAGGTGACCTTGACGCTGCCTCCCCTTCGGCCTGTCCCCTCCCCCTCCATTTTAGTGTTGCAGAGAGGCGGTCTGGAGGTTTGGCTGTCTGGAAGAGGGAGGGAGATGATGCTGAGGACCCGGAGCGGGTACCGGGATGAGGGTTGCCATAGGAACCTCTGGGGAGGTGTCCCTAGGCGAGATGGGGGAGGAGCTCTGTAGGGAGCGAGCAGGAAGAGGAGGGGGCTCCAGGGTCCTGGGGGAGAGACTGCGGCGGCGGAGGCGCACGGGAACGTCACAGGCGCGAGGGCCTGAAGATGGATGGAATCTCTCGCCTTTGCGCGACCTCGCTCAGTTCTTCCCAGACCCCAGACTCACCCACTCCAGTGTCCTGCGCTGCCCAGGCCGGGAGAAGGGGCGCTCCCCTGGAGGGCGAGGGCAGGAAAATCAGGCTAAATTCTGCGTCCCCGACCACAACACTGTTACTCACCCGACCACCGGTTCCCTGGTCGCGACTAACTACATCCTTTCCCCTAGAGGGAAACTGAGGCAGAGGGGGAGGAATGGGTTTTTAGCAGAGGTGGGTGGGGGTCTTGTCCTTCGAAGCTTCCGCCCAGCCTATCACCGCTGAGGTGTCTTGGGGCGATGGGGCTGGGGCGATCTCTGCCCCTTGCTACTTCCCTGGGACCCCAACTCCCAAAACCCGAGGCACAACAGGGCTTGGGCGCCACCGTCTCTCCTGAGGCGGGACACGGCCAGGACTGGAGATCCAGGCAGGGGTGGGGGTTCCCCGGAACCCCGGAAAGGGCGGGATGGGTGTCGGGCCGCGTATGGAGCAGGGCTGAGCTCACCTCTCTGCCTGCTGTCTCTGCCGAGCCGGAGCCGGAGCTCGAGAGCGAGCAGAGCAAAAGCGGGTTGGGTCGCGCCTGCGCCGAAGTCGGGGGCGGGGGTGATACCGGGGTGGGAGGGGGGCCCCCAAGGGCTGGCTCTGCAGATTGCGGACCCCTGCAGGATCGCGAACCCCTGCCCCCTTCCAGATTTCCTTTCTCTTTCGGAGACTCCAGGCTCCTCGCGGAGACCCCGCCACCTCCCTGGACCCCGCCACCTCCCTGGACCCCACCCCCTCATGCAGTCCTTCAAATTCCTCCTCTGGGTTCTCCCATCACCCCTCAGTGTCCCACCTCTCTCATTGAAGACCTCGCCCTCCCTGAGCCTTCATTTCCTCACTGTATCTTCAGTCCCCTGTTGGGGGCTTCATTCCCCTCATGTAGCCCCGACCGCAGTCTACAAGTAGGTTCGTCTCCTTGCTGAGCCCCGACCCTCTTCACAGACTCCCATCTCTCACCTTCTCTCAGAGCCCCGACCTGTCGTTGAGCCTGGCCTTTATCTCACTTGGGTCCCTACCAGGAAGTCCCTTCCTTATTATATCAGGGCCCCTTATCTCTCATTGAAGATTTCACCTTTTCACTGAGTCCCCCATCCTGTCTCCATTCTCTTCCTCTTTTTTTTTTTTTTAAGATTTTATTGGGGAATTGGGGGAAGGGAACAGCGCTGGGGAATCAGGGAAGGGGAACAGACAAGCTGCTGTCCTTTTGTTCTTCAGTCTAGTTGTGGAGGACGTCGCTTCACTGGCCCATGTTGGTATTATCATTGCACTCTTCCCGGCTGAGGCAGATCGGTCGGAGGCCATGGGACTGCAGCTCACGCTGGCTGCCGGCCACTCACGATAGCTCATGGCAGCCCACTGCAGCCTCACTGCAGCCTAGGTCACTGCAGGCCACTCACTGCAGCCCAGCTCCAGGTCGAGCTGTTGTTCACCATCTTAGCTGTAGAGGGCGCAGCGTCACTGGCCTATGTGGGATCTGAACCAATGGCCCTCCTGCTCAGAGCTCATGTTCCCAAGCCAACTCTTAACCAAGGAGCCACTCGGCCAGTCCCATTCTCTTCCTCTTTGATCCCTTATCCCCTTGCTAAGGATCTGCCCCCATCCCTTATCTAGAGAAGGGAGTTGGGGTTGGGGAGGAGGTGCTGGGAGAGACGCTTCCTCTTCCCGTGGAAAAAGCCAATGAGACAGCCTCTCTTGTTCTCTCTCCCAACCTACCCCTACTTCTGTCTTGGGCAGTGTGTGCCTGTGGCCCATCTCCCTGGAGAGCCAGCCTTCGCCAGGCAGCTGCACCTGTTTCATTCCTTGTCATGTGCCCACAGTGTTGCTTTTGTCCCACATTTGCTGTGTGGTCTTGAGAAAGTTGCCACACCTCTCCGAGCTTTATCAGGGCACCACTGCACAAACATGCATCCATTCTGTCTCTCCTCGTGCTAAGGTCTGGGACACAGGGATGAATGAACTCTGTGCGATGGGGCCACATATTGTGTCCCCAAGACTCACATAGTGCTTGACATTGAGTAGGCAGTTCAATAAATGTTTCCTGAACACAGACTAATAATAATAGCAAATACAGAGGGGGCCAAAAAAAGTGTATACACATTTTAAGAAAGGAAAAAACTGAATTAAAATTCTGGCCAATGAGCTATGAGTAGAATGATGCATGTCACTTCTGGGCCAAAGCATTTGTTTTGGTTGCTATTGCTGCATAACGAACCAACCCAAAACGTCGTGACTTATAACACCAACAATCATTATTTTGCTCACGAATCTGCAATTTGGGCAGGCCTCAGTGGGCAGCTCAAGTCTGCTCCACTTAGCATCAGCTGGGGTGGGTTGACTGTGGATTGGAAAGATCGACTCCCAGGATGTCTTGCTCACATGGCTGGCAAGATGGCTGTTAGGTGGAAGCTAGCTGGGGCTGAGGGCCAGGAGCCTCACTTCTTCTTCATGGGGGTCTCCATAGTTTCTCAAGCTTCCTCACAGCCCAGTGGCTGGATTTCAAGAATAAGTATACCAGGAAAGAGGAGGTAAGAGCTGCAAGTTTCTCAAGGCCAGAGTCTAAAAACGGGCACAGTATCACTTCTACTCTATTCTGTTGGTCACAGAGGCCAGATTCAAGGGGAGGAGACATAATTCCAATCCCAAATTCCAGTAGGAGAAATGTCAAATAATTTGGGGGCCATGTTTTAGAACTGCTAGAGCACTTAGGATCCGGGACATGACCCTACAGTTATCTTTTCTCCCGCCATGGCAATTGTGGAGCTACATCGTGACACGGTAGTGTCAGAAGATGGAAGTAGACTGGATTGCTGAGTCGCTGAGGGGAGGACAGCTGCTCTGGAGAGTCACAATATCAGAATATGTTTCAATAAGAAATAAACCTTGTCAGGGGGCCGGCTGAGTGGCTCAGTTGGTTAAGAGCTCGCTCAAGAGTTTGAGCTCTGAGCAACAGCGGTTCTAGTCAGCCGGAGCTGAGTAGCCGTGAGCTGCCAACAGGTGGCGGGATGGCTCAGCTAAAAAAAAAAAAAAAGAAAAAAGAAATAAACCTTGTCAATTTGCTGCTATTTCAGAGTTCTTTTGTTACTATGTCACACTCCAGCCTATCTTGATTGATAAGGAAATTGGTACCAGTAGTAGGTTTTTTAGGTTACTTATGTAATCAAAACCAAAATATGTGGCAGTGCCTTAGTGGTTGGGACAGCAGACAGGAAAGTTGGCAGTCCTTGTTATGCAAAAGAAAAACATTCAGTAAAACTTTTATTGCAGTAACTTGAGAAGCAGGCTATACAGACACCTTTGGCTGCGTTTGTCCAAATATTCAAGAGATGAACTCAGGAAAGAACAGGCTGGTTTGCAAACAGAAATAAAAGGAAATAGAGTTCAGAAATTTAGGTCCTTGCAGAAGTGGAAAAGCCTAATGCCTCTAGACCCCAAATAGGAAGAAATGAGCTTTTTAAATGTGCTGAGCACAGTAAAATCCATTAATTCATTTAAATGTTCCAGGGCAAAGATTAGGTTAAGGGTATGGCCTTCACACCCATTTAAAAAACTTCTCTATTGATTAAAGTATCTCAGGCAAAAGTCTATTAAAATAAGAGATTGAATTTTAAAAGGCTTTAGGTGAAAAATACTCTTGGATAAATGATTCAGGGTCAAGATCATATTAGGGGTGTGGCTTTACCACCTATTATTTCTGACAGCTGCCATTAAATTAAGAGAGTTCTTTGGGGTAAGAAAGCAAAGAAATAAAACGAACCTAAGCAGTATGTGTTGAAATATATTGTGGGTGTGGTTTTAGTACATGGAACTGGCTGGAGTCAAATGGATAAGAAGCCTAAGTTTTTAAGAGAACTGTTCTGCCAAAGAAATCACAAGCCTGGGATAAAAAGTCCATGACTGTTTGAATTTCAAAATGATCCTATGGGCCGGCTGAGTGGTACGTTGGTTAAGAGTTGGCTTGGGATGCCAGCTCTGAGCAGCAGGGCCCTGGTTCGGATCCCACATGAGGACAAGTGACGCTGCACCCTCTACAGCTAAGATGGTGAACAACAGCTCAACTTGGAGCTGGGTGGCCGTGAGTCGCTGGCGACGGCGTAGGCTGCAGCCCCTGCTGCAGTGGGGTATGGTGAGCTGCCATGAGTGTCTGTGAGCGGCTGTCCAATGGCCGGCAGTGACTGCCTCACCCAGGAAGAGCACAATGATACCAACATGGGCCAATGAAGTGACATCCTCCATAACTAGACTGAAGAACAAAAGGACAGCAACTTGTCTGTTCCCCTTCCCTGATTCCCCAATAAAATCTTCTTTTTAAAAAATGATCCTAGGATGATACCTACATCCATTACCATGGCTACTATTAAAAAAAAAAAAAAAGCAAAACCAGAGAATAACAAATGTTTGTGAGGATGTGGAGAAATTGGAACCCTTGTCCAATGTTGGTAAGAATATAAAATGGTGCAGCTGCTGGCAATTCCTTGAAAAATTAAAAATAGAATTACCATATGATCCAGCAATTCCACTTCTGGGTATATACTTAAAAGAACTGAAAGCAGGGTATCTTGAAGAGATATCTGTACGCTATGTTTATTGCAGCATTATTCACAATAGCTAATGTGGAAACAGCCCAAGTGTCCATCGATAGATGAATGGATCAGCAAAATGTGGTACAGACATACAATGGAATATTAGTTAGCTTTAAAAAGGAAGGAAATTCTGCAATATGCGACAACATGAATGAAACTTGAAGACATTATGTTGAGTGAAATAAGACAAAAAAGACAAATGCTGTAAATTCCACTTATATGAGGTACCTAGAGTAGTCAAAATCCTAGAAACAAAGTAGAATGGTGTTTGCCAGGGGCTAGGGAGCGTGGGGAATGCGGTGTTATTATTCGATGGGTACAGAGTTTCAGTTTTGCAAGGTGAAAAGAGTTCTGGAGATGTGCGGTGGTGATGGTTATACCACAATAAGACTACTCAGTGCTACTGAGCTGTATGCCTAAAAATGGTTAAGATCGTACAATTTCTGTTATGTGTATTTACCACAATTTTTAAAAAAGTATCAAAATGTTAAAAAAAAAAATCCTAGGGTCCCCAACAGTTTATAGGCAGGAAGTGGACCAAAAAAGCTATGGGCTTCCCAACGATCATGAGGCAGCTCTGGGCCTTTTTGCCTTCCAGTCCATTCCTTGCTTCTTCCCTGCTCTGCAGAGCAGACACCTGGAGGCTGCATTTCCCAGCCACCCTGGTCAGCTGGCCTCCAGCTGAGCGAAGGGGAAGAGTCAAGGCAGGAGCTGGCAGCAGACAGGAAGCTGCGGCTTTTCTGCCCTTCCACCT